GTTGTGAGCCACCATGTGGTTGCTGGGAATTGAACTCAGGACCTTTGGAAGAACAAGCAGTGCTCTTAACCTCTGAGCCATCTCTCCAGCCCCCGATAGGATTGTTCTTAAATGTGTTCCAATGTGAGGGAGAAGCCCCGGGCCAAGTGGGCTGCCCCTCATGGGCAAGGCTCTTCATGATGCCAATCTGTCCCGGCCCTAGGAAGCCTGGACCACGTACGTCTTCACATGAGCAATCTCACACTCTTGGGAGCCAGTGAACAGCGACAGAATTAAAGGGAGGACCCTCTCCTGTCTGGAGCGAGATGCTTCACAGGAGGCCAAGGTCAGGCCACATCAGCTGACTCAGATCGAGACTGTCCTTGCACTGTTCTTTGGTCTGAAACTTGGGAGACATTCCGCTTCTGTGTGTCTTTTTCATGGAGAAGTCAGTTTGTTTGCACCAGCTACGCAGAAGTAGATCAGAGAGCAATCAGAGATCACCTCCTTCCTCCAGAGTGACGATGGAGAGCCCCGACCAAGTGGGCTGCCACTCAGGGCAAGGCTCTCTCTTCACAACTGGGTCCTGTCGGTGTCACTGCCAATGTGGCCAGAGGGACCAGCGCCAGCCAAAGCCTTCTGCAAGGTTGGATCTGTTCCCCGGCGGAACTAAGGAGAAATGTTTATTCCTCACCTCTGGGCCCCCTAATGAATTCTGATTCAAGCCACACAGGCCTAGGGATCAATAGTTTTAATCATTTCAAAAACTAGCCCCACTCCGGGTAAAATTACAATGTGCATGACACTCAATGGAGCTTAAAGTTCACAACCTCATTATCATTTCATTAGATTCACATTTCAGTAAGATGGAAAGAAATGTTCTCACACGCCACCCCCTCCCCGGCCCCCTCCCCTCCCTCGGCCCCGTAGAAGAACTCTGGAGGACAGCAATGGTTTACAACAGCTGCCAGCCACCAGAGCCAATGGCCCATTCCCAGCATGCACTCTGCCTGAAGAGGAAGCTAGCTGAAGCCGCTGGAGACCTCAGCGCAAATCAGCGCAAATGCCTCCCAAATCAAGTTTGCGGTCCTGGGAAGTTTAGTGAAAACAACCCCGCTCTCAAGGTTTGGCCTCTCGCAGCTGCAGGGGTTAAGTTATCAACACAGTACAAACCCGGGCCAGGAGAACCCTGTCCTGCCCCGGGCCCCAGACGCCCTCTGGGATCCGAAGGGTTTGAAAACGTCTTAAAACTTTTCCAGTGTGTTTATTTTCCGATGTTTAATGATATTGTCCATGCAAGGAGCAGACCCTGGCTCTTGCTCACAATTAAAGTTTTCTAATTTGGGAGACAACGTGGTTTAAAAAGGAAGAGAGGGAGCGTTCACCTAGGCAGCAAACCCCACATCCACCCCAGCTGCAGGAGGAGGTTGTTGGCCTGGTGAGTGTGCAGAGGGAAGCTGTGGGGTGGGGCCGTGCCAGCCGGGAGCCAACTTCAGAAAAGACCTCACTACACTCCCACCAACAGTTTCATGATTGGGACTTGTACTGATCTGTGTGACTGGGAGGTTCCCTGAGGACCCCCCCCCCCATGCTTGTGAACAAGCTATCATTGAGAGTGGGTGTTACGTCTTACCAAGGTATGCACTCCCCCACCCCCACCCCATCCTTGGATGCCAAGTTGCCCACAGC